ATATTACTTTAAAATTTTGGACTTAATTATATTTATATTAAAAGTTTAAGGACTACATGTATAACTAAATCAACTATGGCCTATTTAGTCTAGTTTAGACTAGGACTAGACTTTTTGGCATATAAGTGATAAATCATAAATCCATGCATATAGCGCCGAATTGTACAGTGCAATAAGAGAGAAAAAATTGAAAAAGAAAATAATTTAATATTAAAAGTTTAAGGACTACATGTATAACTAAATTGTGGCCTAATTAATCTAGTTTAGACTAGGACTAGACTTTTTGGCCTATAAATCCATGCAAACAGGGCCGAATTTTACAGTGCAAGAAGAGAGAAAAAATTGAAAAAAATAAAAATAAATTATTTTCTTATATTTTTATCTTTTCTTGGTATGTACAGTCTAGATTTGAATTTTTTATTAATGAAAAAATTTGTTCACATGCCATATAGTAACTTTAAAGAATATCATAGAAGATTTGAAAATTGGGAGTATCGAGTCTTTGAAATCAAAAGATGAAAGTTCATGATTCAGATTTTATTCAAAATTTGGTTATCGAATTTGGGTGAATTCTAAATCTGTATTTCTTAAATATAATACACACGTGAACATCTAGTATGATATTAGTTTCTTAAATTATGATTTTTATTATTTTTTATTTTTTAACTTCTTGTTCTGCTTTCCAACAATTGGTATCTAAGCAATCTAGATACTTCGCGTGGGTGTTATACGATCTGGATCTTCAATTATATGTTCTAGTTGAGCTATGTCTAGAATTAATTGATGATATGATGATCGATGATTGTAATTATTTTAACTCTGAATGTATTGGTAGGTCTACAAACAAAATCTTAGATATCTTAAGCATACTACTACGCAGTGGTCTTCATTTTAGATCTGATGCTTCCTTGACTTCGGAAGTTCACTCAACTTGGTTGAGCTGAGCAAGTTGTTAGGCATGTAATGCTCTGTTTTTTCCACAAATATATAGCGTGCGGAGCTCATCGAATTACCTACAACTACCCTCTTCTGAATATCACTTGTATTTTCATTAATTTTCGACACCATTCATTCTCCATCAACCTGGTTTTACATTACCAGCCACCATCGTGCTACAAATACTATATGAATCTTATTTCGGCATTCTGTAAAGTTCAATATTAAATCCATTAAGAAATTCGAAGTTATTCAATCTTTGACAACTCGTTTTGGTTTACCATCTCTTTTAATCTAACCTGTTATGGTGAGATTGCTCTTAGAGCCCCTTCGAGTCTACCACGAGCTACAAACGTAAACATAAATGATGCCCACAATTTCTGCCTCGTTTAAAATCACTACTTGTTAGGAATATATAATTTTATGCTGTAATAAAATGAAGTATATTATCCTATAAAAATAGATTATTATAAAGGCAAGTGGGAAAGATTGAGCATTGAGCATTACGGTTATTCCTACTTCCTCAGTAGAGAATATTGTGCCACCATAATTTAGTTTAGAATGCTATTGAAATCTTATTCAAGTTGAAATTCTATTTGGAAGCCCTCTTGGGAGGTTGGCTCGAAAAAGGACTTTGAGATGAAGAAAACAACTTGGAGGGAAAAAAGAAAAGAAAAAAATAAAAGGAAAAGGGGCAGAACGCCCGATGCCGACGCCCTTGCTTGGTTTTTACCCCGAGCGCCAACCTCGGTGTTGAGATGCCACCGTGGTTTTTTTAGTTCCCTTTTTTTGGGAATTTTATGTCTTCTTCTTCATTTATAACTCCAAAAAGAGATTCCTATATATATTTCACATTCTATCTTCATAGAATATATATTCAACATCTTGAGAGGTTTTGAGAATATATGATAATTTAGCTTCGATGATTACTAGAACTTCGTATCAATTGTATATTTTTCATTATTGTTCATGAGTCAATAAAATTTCCAAATTACCCTGTCATATTTCTTGTCTTTTATTATTCTTTTGCTTACGATCATATACTTCATATTTTGCGATACAACTTCGATATTTTAATCCTGAATTACAACAAGTGGATCGGAGAAATTCATAATTCTTAACAAGTAGGGATGGCAATGGGACGGAATGGGGGTGGGGACGGGGCACCACCTCCCGTCCCGTTACCCGTTTAAGGCGGGGAGGGGCCCTTGCCCCGTTTACTACCCGTTTAATTATTTTTTTAGTTTTTGATAATTTATTTCTCATACTCATCAGATTTAGACAAATAATTTTAGTTGCTATTTTCTATTAGAACTAATGAAATTTTGTGAAATTTTTCATTTAAAATATTGAATTCTAAAAAAAAAAAAATTAACGGGGTGGGGCGTCCGTTACCCGTCTCAGCCCTGGGGTAAAATTCTCCGTCCCGAATACCCAATTAAGAGGGTTATCCCCACTCCATTCAAGGCGGTGCCCCGAGGGTATCGGGTTTGTTGGATTTTTTTGCCATCCCTATTAACAAGTGGTGCCATAGCAATCATGCCAGTTCTCAACAAGTGGTATCAGAGTCAAGTTCAGCAATTCCGCAGGGCACAAGTTTGATTTGTTCAAAGTTTTTATTCTTGATGGGTTCTCGGAAGTATGGCATTCTGCTTTTGGATCATAGCACCAAATTCACGTTGTGGCAAGATAAGATGCGAGCAGTACTCGTACAGATGGATTTGGATGATACGTTGTTAGGAATTTATAAGATGCCTGTAACTTTGATCGCAGTGGAGAAATTACGAAAAAATAAGAAAGCACTTTCTCATATTCATCTTCATCTCTTGAATAACATTCTTCAGGACGTTTTAAATTAGGTTTTAACGGCTACTTTATGGTTGAAATTGGATCAATTATGCATGATCAAAAGTCTAACAAGTAAATTGCATTTGAAGCAGCGATTATACTCTCATCGCATGACAGAATGTGGATCATTGGAAGATCACTTGACTGTATTTAGGTGATAGTCGCTGATTTGGGAACTTTGGAAATAAAGTATGAAGAAGAAGATTTGGCATCGATCATATTGAGTTCGTTGCCCGCTTCGTTTTCTTCATTTAAAGACATGATCTTATATAATCTTGATACTCTTACCATAGAGGATGTGTATGATGCTTTATTTTCAAAAGAGAAGATGAAGCATCTGATTTTTGAGGCCATAAATGGAGAAGGCCTAATTGCTCGTGTTGGTTTTGGAAGGGACAGATCTAAGTCTAAGTTCAGTAATCAGATTTGTAACTACTATAAGAAGAGGAGGCACATTAAGAATGATTCCTACAAATTGCAGAACAAAGCAAGATTGGCTGCAAATTGAAATGGTAAGCAATCAGATACATCAGGCGAAGCAGACCTCGCAGAGAAAAATGTGAATGAAGGAGATCTTTTGGCTGTTTCTGAAGTCGAGTCTAAACCAGAAGAGGATTGGATTCTGGATTCAGTATTGTGTTTCATATGTGTCCTAATAAAGACTTGTTTACTACATATAAATAGTTTCCAAATGTGTCGTAGTTATGGGAAATAACACACATTGTCGGATTGCGGGAATTGATAAGGTCAGATTGAAACTAATGAATGGGACAATTAGAACATTTGGTCGGTTCGACATGTTCTAGATTTGAAGAAGAATCTCACCTCATTGTCTATCCTTTATTCAAAGGATTATGAGTTTTTTGGTGAAGGTTGAAGTGGAGCACTGAACGTTTGCAAGGGTGCCCATGTTGCATTGGAGGGACATAAAATATCTCAGTTATACATCTTGTAGGGTTGTGCAAAATCTAGAAGAGTCAATCAGTACAAGTTCAGTACCATGGTGGACATTTAGTTTGGTACATTACCTTTAGTTTTTTGCATGAGGTTGGATTTGAACAATACTGCTCAATTGAGTTCAAAAGATATGGATAATGCCGTTTTTCCACCATTACCTGCAATGCCATTGTATTCAATTGTTAGAGACGGATTCAGTGGCGAAAGGTATTTGGATGCTGATTTTGTTGGGTATGTTTTAAGCGTAGTAAAATGTGTATAATCTATCAATGGGTCTTCTGTAAAAGCACTTGGGATTGATTCTGCTTCAAGGTGTGTTACAGCCCCGATTGGTAAATTTTAAAATTCTTATATTTTTTGTGAATCTAAGGCAATTCTGTAGAGTAGTGCTTGAATTTATTGGAAGGGGTGGAGTATTTTGTATTTGGTTGAGAAATCAGTTTTAGTTATTATTGAAGAGTTCTGTTTGTTCCTTATAGACAAATTTTCTTCTCCAGGTAGAGAAAGTTTAGGAGCTTTGTTCGTTGCAGTGGAATTCGTGTCAATGTAGAGATTGTTAGAATTTGGGTGACCCGAGTTTCTTGTTGAAATAATTGAAGAATTCTAATTGAAGTGCACGTCAGGAGAAATTCAGTTTGAAATACTATTGGAGTCTTATTCAAGTTGAAATTCTATTTGGAAGCCTTATTGAGAGTTTGATTTGGAAAATGACTTCGAGATGAAGAAAACTTGGAGCGAACAAAAAAAACAAAAAAGGAAAAGGGGCAGAACTCCCGGAGCTGCGGCGCCGACGCCCCTGCTTGCCTTTTGCCCCGAGAGTCGGCCTTGGCGCTGAGGCGCCCGGATGGTGGCGCTTCGTTGTGTTTTTAGTTCCGTTTTTTCGGGATTTTATTTTTCTTCTTTATTTAGAACTCCAAAAATATATTCCTATAGTTATTTCACATTGTATCTTCACAAAATATATTTTCAACATCTTGAGAGCTTTTGAGAATATATGATAGTTTAGCCTCAATGATTACTAGAACTTTAAATCAATTGTATATTTCTCTATTATTGTTCATGAGTCACTAAAATCTCCAAATTCCTATGCCATATTTCTTATCTTTTATTATTCTTTTGCTTACGATCATATACTTCATATTTTGCCATACAACTTCAATATTTCAATCCTGAATTACAATAAGTGGATCGAAAAAATATATAATTCTTAACAAGTGGTATCATAGCAATCCCGTCGGTCATCAACACCAAGTAATGATCTAGACGAGCTTTCCTTTCTTCAGAAACTCGGCTATTCTCTTCGATATACAGTATGAAGTTGATTGGATAGTAATCATAGGATTAACACCAACAGCAGAAGGTAGTACACTTGCATCACATACAAATAACCCCTTTGCTTCCCAACATTCTCCATTTTCATCAACTGCACCATCTTCCGGGGTGACACCAATCCGGCAACTGCCCATCTGATGTGCTGAACAATAAATGGTCCAGTACTCGCTCCTCGACCTTGGGCCACCTTCTGCTGTAACGGTGTCAAGAAACTCGTCCAAATCCTCCTTCTTAGTCCCTTTACATTTAGTTCTTTGTCCATCACTCTTGAAGGTACCGACTTCCTCAGCTCCTGCTGAGATTAAAATTCTCAAAGCCCTTCTCAACCCAAGTTTAAGATTTTCTTTATCGAGTTTATCCAACCGATAATTTATATAACCTTCCTCTTTCACCTCACCTGAACCTTGATCTCGTGTCAATGCAAAAAAAACAGCAGTTCTGGAATATTTTGTCATTCTTTCCTTCATGTCATGCCTTGAAATCCATGGAAGCAATGCAGAAAATGAAGCAGGTCCAAGAGAAGCAGATTCCACAATAGCCTGGATGTTGGATTCTTCAGAGAACACCTTATGGAGAGAAGTGATAATTCCTCCCTCAAAATTTTTACCTTCAAATTCTAATGATGATTCCGGGAAGTATCCCCAGACGAAAGAAACCGGGTGAAGATGAAGATTTCTACCTATGTTTTTATTCTCCAAACCGCTGGATATCAACAACGGGGGTGTTAAGAGAGAACCACAGGCCGAAACTGTCACCCGTGCCTCAATATGTAGCTTCTTTTTGATGTTCTTACTTTCAGAAGTCGAAATTACTCCAAGACATTGTTTTCTAATCTTTTCATCTTTTGCATTCACCAACACAAATTTTTCAGCTTTGCACCCAGCTAAGATCACTGCACCATTATTTACAGCATCAACAAGCCAAGTGGAATCTGTTCCCTTTTTATCTCCTCTTCTGCAGCCGTAACCACAAGAACCACAGTAATGATTCTCAGAGGAATTTCTTGGTACTGACTCAACTTTCAGACCAAGATTTTTGCATCCTCTTCGAAGTACTTGATTTTGAAACCCTTCTTCTGAACAATTATCAGTGACGCCTATTCTTTGACATATTACATCCATAGCAGATTGATATCTCGGGGAACTGAACATTTGAATATTATTTTTTGTGGACCATTCTTCAAGAACATAATTCGGAGTTCTTATGGAGGCCGACCAATTTACTGCAGAACCACCACCAACGGTCGTCCCGGCCATGATCATAACTTTCCCATCTTCAGTCGTTAGCATTCCACCCGATTCATATAATTCATTCATTGAAGGTCCTTCAAGACCGGAATAATCTTCCGGCACAAAGTAGTGACCTTTCTCGAGGATTAGGACTTTCTGATCTGAGTTTGCAAGGACAGCTGCTGCAACACCTCCTCCACAACCGGATCCAACAATCACTACATCACATTTGATCTTAAACACATTGCCTGTTGGATCCTCAATGACATGTATACCTTTCTGCATAAGCGATTCCTTTAGTGTCAACTCACTCATGTTCATGGTTTCAATAATGCCCTTTTCAAGAGGTCTATCCTTTTGTGGTTTGGTCGAATCTTTCATGTCCTCTACACGGTATCCAATTGGTTCCCATGCTGGATTACCTGAATTGTCATCAGTCTGCAACAGATAAAGAAAATAAACTCAATTATGTGAAGTGTAACCTCAGATAAATGAGCTTAAAAGAGTGGCGAAAAAGGATGTGTAGCCGACCTCAAATTATTAGAAACAAAGCTTATTTCAAGATTTTGCAACTAAGGGATACTTTTAAATTAGGCTAGTATCCTCAGTTGCAACCAATAACTTTGAATTACAATGCACAACCATATGGCTATAAGAATTTAAGACCCTATTTTATTTCATAACCTTAACATGTGCCTTACAGGGAAATATACAGATTAGCAGTGCAGGCATCAAAATTAAGATCAACTAACTACAGAACAAGAAAAGGTGAAACCTTTGCCCAGAAATACATAAAGGGCATATTTTGGCACCTCGTAGTGCAAGAGCTGCTGACTAAAAAATGAAGACCGAAAAGTAATTGAGCTCAATGCAAAGACAGTCAATAAGAAGAATTACCAAAGAGAAAAAGATGTAGAGGCAGGTGATTTTAAGCAACAAGAAGGCTATTCTCAGTGGAAGCAGAAAAGCTTCTCTTGACCATTTTTGAAGGATAATTTCTCTGTTCTTCAAGGACAATTCCATAAATTTGTGAACGAATGGCCACTTCCAATCTAAACAAACATACCCACAAAGCAAAAGGGTTCCCGATCTGGTTGATAGAAGCTTTAACACTAGGCTTACTATGAACTGAGCTTTAGGTTTTACCCTCTTCACCAATAGCTCTGCAACCTATCCACCAAAGAGAGAAATAAATACTAGAACAATTCTATTACTCACAAATCACAATAGTGAAACAACTTGAATTATGAACAAAGTTTAGAAAAAAGAGCTCGAGTAGTCGAGCCCAAATTTATCGAGAACAAGATTTGATTATTGCTGAAAAAGAAGACAGCAAAGGGAATTGCTCAGCTAAGCTCAGCTGGGAAAGTAGAAGTATTTAAAAGTAACGTTCAAGAGTAGCCAACATATATGATATATATAACCATAAAAATTGATTTTAAATAAACCTTTTTTTTGCCACACAAAAAAATAAAAATAAAATTAGTTTAGTTGCTGGTTTTCAGAAATTACTTTTAATCATTTTTAGGCTTACCCAAGCATGCTCAAAGCAGCACAATACAACAATGCTCACAACAAAGTCTAATCCCTAATAAATATGAAGCCGACAATCCGAATCCTTCTTTGTCACCAAACTAGGATAAAACAAGAACATTGTTCCCAATAAATTTAGGCCGGGTATCATAAACTAGAATACAGGAAATTAGACCAGAAAAGTGAAGTATTACTTCATCAGGCCCTGAAGATTTGTAGAAGTAGTTGAAGGCCTGGTTTGGCAAATCTCCATTGCTGACGTCATAAAGTTGCAGAGGAGGAATCAAAGCTTCACATATGGAATCAAGAACTTGGATCTGAGAAGAAGAGAAGCCATGGCTGTAGTTTCTGCGCTCTCTTCTTTCTCTACTCAACAATGGATGACAGTTTTTCATTCTCTTTCTTTCTCTCTCTCTTCTCACACTTTTTCGGTCATCCAATCTTCATCCCTCTTCTTGCATTCTTAAATAAGGACAAATCATTTCTTTTGTAATTTCGAGGAAAAATATATAAATATAATGATAAGTTACTGGCGTCAGTTTTGGAGTCTTGTGGGAATTTTCTTCATGGCTATGCCGTTAAGAAGAAACTAACGAAATAGGGAAAGTTGCAAATTGGTCCTCTATCTATATTGTAGTAATGAGTTAGTTTTCACCTTTTAAAAAGGAGCAATTTGACTCAATACTTTTTGTTATTGTAGTTGCACAACAAAAACCAGTTCGAATCTCAACTAACTCTTCATGAAGTCAGAATTTTATTCTTTACGTAATTAGTATCTAAACTAAAGTCTTATGAAGATCGAGTTACATTGTACTAATTCGACTGTCCGCTCACTAAAACTTTGACATCTTACTGTATTTTCTTTACAAATGAAAATACGTCATTTCAAATGCAATATCACTTGTAGTGTATTCGCCTCTTCTCATCATTTCTAAAAAGAGCAGATATATTGAAGTGTAAAAATTTTAATTAAGATATCTTAACTCCGTCTTATAACTAAGCATCGGTTTGATCCCATTTTAATGATACTTGTCAATTTTTTTTTTTTTCAAAACCCGTTGCCATTCACATTCATTTTGTGTCAATTTTAAAGAAAACAGTGGTAACCCTGCAAGGGATGATGGCATTAATAATTTCCACCGTCAATGTATTGCCATTTATTCCACGTTCATGAAATTGAGAAGGTCATTTTGGTAAATGGCGGATGAGGACAAGTATTTTGGACCATATCCTTTTCAATGGCTTTTTCTCCATTTTTAGCCCATATTTGTTGTAGATTAAGATCAGATTTTTGGTAAATTTTGATAAAAAATGATGAAATTTATGATTAAAAAGTTACGTGTCTCATAAAATGTGATTAAAATTAATTGTTAACTTTGACTTGAAATTAAAATCAAATTTTAATTTGTACCAAACATGGGCTAAATGTTCTGACATGGGAACAGAGAAATTTCATCATCATCAAAGTCGGGAGTCTATTTTTGTAAAATGCAAAATCCCATTAAAACTTGATTTGTATGAGTTCCAAACATGGGGTAAATGTACCTAATCCATTCTCTAAAAAGATATCATCTAATATCAGTGTTGTTGAAGATCAATATAACTATTTAAGTGTCGTTATATTGCAGGTCTTATTGAATGAGCCATAATTCTTCATAATTGAACCTATAATTTAATCGCTAGTGCTACCATCTAAATGACGTCAATAGTTCTAAATAGCTTTACTCTTTCTCTAGTAATATATTGGTTCTCCAACTTTTGAAAAGAAGTAAACCAGTCCCTAACCTTTCATTCTCATTATAGAGTCAATCTTGAAAACTGTCCAAACCTCTATTAATAGTCATATGTCCCATGCACTTTCAAGTTTATCAAGCCACGCTTTGCTTCTTAACTTGGTGATTTTGAAGCTATAAATAATTAAGACCAACTAACTTATTTTTAAAAGTTAAAAAACATCAAGTACTAGAATAAAATATTAGATGTTTGGTATTAAGAGGCTGTCTGGGCGTGATTTCTTCCCAAAACAAATCGATTAATGGACCGTTGGGTACTGCAGTCTGGGTCCCAGTTTGCAGCTAAATTTGACTTCATCAAAATCAATTGTCGAAAATGCCCTGTTTAATGGCAAAATGATTTTTGAGTTAATGGCAAAAAGGTCATTTTGCCATAAATATTCAAAAGTAATGGCTGCCATGTCAGTGTACCTGCAAATCAAATGAAAAGGAACGGTCCATTTTATCTTATTTCAACGGTCCAATTTTCACTAGGTAGTGCTACCAGACAGCCCCTAATAAATTTGCAATTCGTTTAAGAAATGCAAGTTATTTCTAGTTTAAGATTATAAATTTCTTCTTTAATTCCAATTATAATCAGCATTTCAGCTATGAAAAAAAATAAATTATATATTCCTTTAAGCTGCCAGCATCAATGGAGCTTTAGGGTTGAAAATTCAAGTACTTTGAAAGTACATTTGTCAAGATAACTATCATGGACTTGACTTCAAAAAATTGACAAATGGGGTTGTTTGATTTCAAAAGTCGACCTCAGACTGGGAAAATTGCAATTGCCTCTCCAACCTTTCGCGCTTACAGCGAAGTAGCCTCGGAAATTTAATTCTCAATACTTCAATTCATAATCTATAGAATTTGTAACGCCGTGCTCCTTAATGGACAATGTCCATCCAAGCTCCAGTTAAGTATTTACTCCCGTTTAATCCCTCAACAAGTCTAACACGTGAGAGGCACGTGACAATCAAGAAGACTGTTTGCCATACATACATCACAATGCAAAAAAGTCGAAAAAGGATATGTCAACACTTCAAAAATGCTATTGCAAATGTTGCAAACCAACTTATAGTTCGGGGCCTCAACCACAATTTCTCACAAAGACATAAAAACTTTAGCCTAGGAGACACGAAAAGAATAGAAACACTTTATGTAAAGAAATGCATGACTTGGGATTCAGTTCCAAAGTCGCCAAAAGTTAACAAATATTAGGTTTTGCATCATTCTAATAGCATGACAATGAGTAGAATCTAGCAAGCAACACAAAACTCCCAATAGCATTTATAACTAGTATGTGAGGTATACTCCAACACAAAACTTGAAATATTCTCTTCAATACCACCAGAGAGAGAGAGAGAGAGAGTTCCAACAGTTGTTCCATATAATCCACATTGATGTAATTAAAGTAAATGGTCCACGACAATGACAGAATTGCCTAAATAATCAATCCATTTTCTAGTAGTCTCTTGAAATTTTCCCTCTTGGCCTTCAATTACGTATAAAAATGATTTGTAAACTTTATTATGGCCATGCCTCATTGATTGTCCAATGAAATAGGAATAGTTCCGCATACTAATACTTTTGTATGAAAGAGAACCGGGTTCAAATATTTCGCTCGAATAGCTCCGAATAAATTAAATACGTGTACTAAGATATAAATGCTTCTAAATTTTATTGTGGGTTTGGTACAACGTATTGAGCACTATATGAACAATATTTAACTTTTATTTCTTTGATAGTACTATTGAGTACTATTCGATTCGATGCTCCTACCAAACATGCTATAAGATTAGCAGACCTATGAAAATGTATAAAGCAAATAGATATACACATTATTTGTACCCTGTTCAGTGCAGTGAAGAGTTAGTAAGCAACTCATTATCTACCGTCTCAATGTGAATTATAGAGGGTGCAGGGGAGGTTAACATAATGTACAAAGGATCTCTTGAACACTTAGTCTATGCCAAGTACAGGAATTGGGAAATGCCACAAAAAAGGAAATTTTGATGTCTTATGCAATTTTTAGGCATATAATGCAAGTTTGGGACATGCAACCATAAATACGATTCCACCAGTAACCTAGAATTAATATTCCTTTCCGGATATGTTGTTACCTCGATAGGTGACACCGTGGCTGACATTTTTCAATTCAAACAGAATTTGAATAGCTGGAAAACTGTTACTTTGCAGCTAAAGAGAACCGACAATCTGGAAGGCACACTGCTCGTTGTCTCAAACCTATAAAACGAGAAATTTTTTCTGCAGTGGTCTCCTAAAAATTGTTAGTGCTTATGAGTATGTTTTTGCACTTGTAAAGGATTCATTTCTTACATCTAAATGACTGAAGAATAAAGTATATTTAAATTGGGGGCGAGCCCAGATCTTCCTTTACCTTGTTATCGTTGCATCTCTTGAGAATAAGTAGCTGACTTCGCAAGTGCAATATCTGCCATATCATTGAGAAAAATGAAAATTAGTTGCAAAGCAAAAGTTAATGATAAGAAATAGCGACATGGAAGTCAAAGGGGAATCCAAAGAACCAGATGTGGGAAAAATGAGATTGGGATATAAAAAATTGTTGGGTTTTGTGACCCAAATCCGGTCCAACTTGGGTCTAGGGCTTCGCGTTGTGGAGTATTGGGCTGAAGATGACAAATTAGGGTCTAGAAGGAAAAAAAGGCAGATTGACGGCACTGGACAAACGCCCGCTTATAGCTCAAGCGGTATGAGCAAAATTAGAACAGGGAGTTCGTCGCCCGCTTGTCGCTATCGCTCAAGTGACAACCTGCCGCCCGCTTCTAGCTCAAGCAACGGGCCGCGGATTTTTTCCTTCTTTTCGGTTTTACGCGATTTTTAATCTAGTTNGGAAATGCCACAAAAAAGGAAATTTTGATGTCTTATGCAATTTTTAGGCATATAATGCAAGTTTGGGACATGCAACCATAAATACGATTCCACCAGTAACCTAGAATTAATATTCCTTTCCGGATATGTTGTTACCTCGATAGGTGACACCGTGGCTGACATTTTTCAATTCAAACAGAATTTGAATAGCTGGAAAACTGTTACTTTGCAGCTAAAGAGAACCGACAATCTGGAAGGCACACTGCTCGTTGTCTCAAACCTATAAAACGAGAAATTTTTTCTGCAGTGGTCTCCTAAAAATTGTTAGTGCTTATGAGTACGTTTTTGCACTTGTAAAGGATTCATTTCTTACATCTAAATGACTGAAGAATAAAGTATATTTAAATTGGGGGCGAGCCCAGATCTTCCTTTACCTTGTTATCGTTGCATCTCTTGAGAATAAGTAGCTGACTTCGCAAGTGCAATATCTGCCATATCATTGAGAAAAATGAAAATTAGGTGCAAAGCAAAAGTTAATGATAAGAAATAGCGACATGGAAGTCAAAGGGGAATCCAAAGAACCAGATGTGGGAAAAATGAGATTGGGATATAAAAAATTGTTGGGTTTTGTGACCCAAATCCGGTCCAACTTGGGTCTAGGGCTTCGCGTTGTGGAGTATTGGGCTGAAGATGACAAAATAGGGTCTAGAAGGAAAAAAAGGCAGATTGACGGCACTGGACAAACGCCCGCTTATAGCTCAAGCGGT